CTTCGTGTCTCCAGTGGCAAGCCACTTTTCCACAAAACAGCTGACTAGCAATACAAGGCAGAAAAGTTGCATATTGTCACTTACTTCTTATCCATTAATTCAATAATAATTCAATATATACAGATAATTCAAAACACTAAGGCAGACCAGAATAGCAAGCTGTTGAGAACATGTACCTATTATGAGAGGCAAAACAAGAACTGCCTGCAAACACTAGGTGCACCTCTTTGCACTGCACAAACCACGCATGGAAAATGTACAATTTGAAGATTACTTACTCATAATGGCAGCGTCCACGACAGTTTCCAAATCTGTCATTTTGATTATTCACTTCTTGCATGCACAAATAATTGGGACCCTTAGCATCTGAAAAAAACATTTCAACTTTCTTGTGTTAAAAGTCAAAAAGTAAGTCACAAAACTTAAAAGTGTAGACATTTATACTGAGCTAGTCAGTGTCTGGCAGTGTAAATGGGAGCCGTGGGCAAGAATCAACCAATAACTACTCAGGAAAAAGGTGTACTGTGTTAAGGAAAACTGTTGAGAAAGTTGCTGTCTCCCCAAAGCCACACACTAATACTCTGTTCTTCTCCCACCAATGACCTCAATATTGACTCATATTCTATATGGTCTCAATGTTAGTCTTTTCCTGTATGACATGGAAAGGAGTTGCTTTGATTTGATTTTCAAATATGGGTGTAGATCAATATTTTGTAATAAGGCTACAGGACAGATTTGTGGCTTTAAAATAACAGCAATTAAAAAAAATGCCTCCCCACCAAAAACAAAAAACAAGGTTTATCTCATACGTTTTCCGAATAAATCCATGCAATGCCTATCAATGTCTTGGCAAATCCCACCATAGCAATAGGCAGTTCTGTTGTTGCAGGGTTCTAGGTCAGCAGCCTTTGTGTCAGGTCCACAGTATTCAGATTTCCCATTGCAGAACTCAGGGAAATCACACAGGTCTCTACTTCTCCTACAAAGACGCCCTCTTTCGGCTATCTGAAAGATGAACAACAGGCTAGCTTTTGTCAGGGTGACTTGGTTCTCCTCTTCCTAAAGTTAGGCAAGAGAAGATTTCTCTACTCCTTTGAAAGATCATGCCATCTGGATTAAAGTCAGCTTTGTTTTTATTTTTTAAAAGAAAGAACGAAAAAGACACAGAAATGGAGCTCTACAACATAGGGACAGAGCTTGTTTGAGAACCATCAAGAATACATACTCCCAAAATATACACAGAATGAAGATGCCACTAAAGGACTCATTATCTTTTCTTATCTACACATAGTTATAAGATGGTGCCAGTTGGATTCACAGTGGCCTGTGAGAGTGTCTAGGTGTTATCTCCAAACATCTTTCACACTAGTACCTGTGGGTGAAGAAGCTGATTCTATTGATATCCACCATAGCTTTGCATGTACACTTATGTCTAAACAGAAAGCCTTAAGGAAAACACTTGGAGCAAATCTCTCCACTTTCAGAAAAGGTCTGATAGAACCTCACCTATTTGCAAGAACACAAAGAAGAAATAGGGCCTTCTCCACTCGGAGTCCGTAAAGACGAGAAGCTAACACAGAGTGGCTGTGAGCAGGCCTCTACTTCCAGTTTATCGTATCTGACAAAATGAGTATAGACTCCTCCAGCCTAGTTAGCTGTTCTTCATGGTCGTCCCTAATGACCACACCTCTGGATCTTCACTACGGAAGGATGGGCTGTAAGGAAGAGCCCAATGTAGCGACAGAAGTTAGGAAGGGCTCTAGCATGAGAAGTACAAGGTCTCTGTCAGGTGCAAATGCCATACAAGGGTGTCTCCATTCAGGCACCTTGAAAACACAAGGCTGTAACCATCAAAACTCAGGGAATACACCCTGCCAGAACCAAGCTTCCTGGTTACATGCTGCCTGCTGCCGACTCACCTGCCCCAATCACCTTTTAATGGTTTTCAGAATTGAATTTCTATTGCTACTTTGTCAAATGGACCTTGTTAGTTCTCATCTTGTTGTACACTATTTGATCATAAAGAACTGCATTCAAACAGGACAAAGAAAAGTTCCTGGCCAGACAATTTTGAATAATACTGCATACCACAGCTGGAGACGTCTTAGGGACAGATTGAAACATGATAAAAAGCAGAGGGGAGACAGTGACCCACAGGCTGAATTTAAAGAAAATGTAAATTAGAAAATGCCCTTTGTATCTACCCAATGGAAAAATGACACATTTCCTGGAGGGGGGGCGCTCCAAATGGTCCTTCATATTCTAACTTTAAGACTTAGGACAAAAGAAAGCTCTCCAAAGACAATGCAAATTAAAGCACTTGAAGAGCAGGTTTAACACCTAGGAGACAAGGAGAGAAGTACACTAAAGACTCCTGAAAGGTTCTGTGTTTGAGGCTTACCTTGCATGACCTTCTGTCACAGCACGGCCCTGTCCCACACTCCGAAGGCTTTATCAGAGTACAATTTTTAGGGTTGCAGCAACCTTTATGGGTACATCTCTAGAGAAGAAAATATGTTCAATGTAAATGTAGGAGTTGGAAATCAGATATATGAATTTTTGCCTCCTTTCAAAGTGCAGTTGTGGGCTGCCCAATGAATCTTCACTAGTTAAGAGACATCCAGCCCTGCCAACAACAGACCATATTCAAAAATGTGATCTCCTAACATTGCAGTGGAGCCAAAGGTTTCTACCATCTGATGACACTGTGGCCAACATCACCGCATTGTGCACTACACACTCGTGTTCATGACAAGCCTTCCACCAGTCAGGTTAACAAGCACATGTCTCAATAGCCCTGACCATGGGACACTTATTTACAACAGCTTTTACATTCAAACTGAACAAACCAAAGTGTATACCCCCAAAGGCCTCCTCTGTCAAGCTCTTACAGATTGGGACAGGTACTTGGCAACAGAGACCTACCTGTGAGGGGAGAGCCATCCTTTAGTATCCAAATTCATCAGTCCTACTGCTTGCTGTCCCTTCCTTGTCTTTTCTACTGAGAACATAACAGACTCCCTGAACTCACTCTTCTCCCCTTCTCACTTCTCCTCATCCAACTGTGGTACTCGCTCTGGTTGCGCTCTCTTAACCAGGGGCCACAAGAAAGAAAACACTTCATTCGGGGACTAAGAAAAACACACACTATGCAAGTAATACTTAAAGGCATATACTATTTCAGAATACATATTAAAATTAAAAAGTAGACAATCATTTCTTCCTACAAACATCAGGATATGTTAATTTGGAAAAGGTATTCTTTTTTTTTTTTTTTTTTTGGTTTTTACGAGACAGGGTTTCTCTGTATTGTTTTGGAGGCTATTGGTCCAGCCCGGCCTCGAACTCACAGAGATCTGCCTGCCTCTGCCTCCCGAGTGCTGGGATTAAAGGCATGCGCCACCACCGCCTGGCGGAAAAGGTATTCTTTAAACAAAATATCCCAAGTAATTGGATATCATACAAGGGGAAAAAGAGTTATCATGACTCTGACAGCTTTTATTTATTAAAACTACAGTACAGAAAAATGACCCAGATGACAAAAAACAATGGTTGCATGGCTGTCATAAAATTGCTAACTGTTTATAGCTAATGTTTGATACACTAAACCCATTATCCTGGAGGACAGAAAGAAAAAAATACCTATACTATATTTCCCAAACTTACTGGACCATCCCAATTCCTGTGGATTGATGTCATTTAATTATCTTTAATATATACTTTCTTATACAATGCTTACAGCACAGGAAAGCTGGTACTATAATAGCAAAAAAAAAAAAGATTATTTAAGCAGCAGGCCTGGCAGTGGGACCAGGTAAAACAGGCCCTGCATCCAGTGCCTGGAGATTAGCTGGGGACTGCCACAAAGCTTCCCATCCCAGTGGGAGCCAAGCACACCAGATCCAAGGTCTTCTCTTCCACCGATGAGACAAGGGGACTATGCACCCCAGATTCCTAGGCATCTTCTCCACCCACGGGACCAGAACTAGGACGAGGAATAGAAGAGCTACCAGAGTATTGGACTTGCTTGCACCCACCGAAAAGGAACTCTGGTCCCCTAACCACCAGACTACTAAGGGGCTCTTTCTGCACCCATTAGAAGACGAGATGGGAAGGAGACAAAACAAAAACACACTCAGCAACAGAAAAACAAATATGACACCACCAGATTCTAGAGAATCCACACCAGCAAGACTCCAACATTCCAATGCAAATGAAGCAGAAGAGAATGACCTTAAAAACAACTTCATGAAAATGATAGAGGCCCTAAAATAGGATAAAGGAAAATCCCTCAAAGAAATGGAAGAAAAAACAATCCAAAAATGCAAAAATGGAAGAAAAAAACAAAACAAAAAATGCAAAAATGGAAGAAAAAACAAAATAAAAAATGCAAGAAATGGGAGGAAAAACAAAACAAAAATGCAAGAAATAAAGAAAAAACAAACCAAAAAATGCAAAAATGGAAGAAAAAACAAACCAAAAAAATGCAAGAAATGGAAGAAAAAACAAGCCAAAAAATGCAAGAAATGGAAGAAAAAACAAACCAAAAAATTCATAAAATACAACAAATGGGTGAAAAGATAAACCAAAAATTACAAGAAACAATTCAAACAGTGCAAGAGTTGAAAACTGAAATACAGACAATAAAAAACACAATCTGAAGAAAGGCTGGAAATAGAAAAGCTGGGAAAATGGTCAGGTACTACAGATACAAGCATTACCAACAGAATATAAGAGATGGAAGAGATAATCTCAGGTGTTGAAGATATACTAGGAGAAATGGATTCATCAACCAAAGAAAATCTGAAGACCAACAAATTCTTAACACAAAACATCCAGGAAATATGGGACACCATGAAAAGACCAAACCTAAGAATAATAGGTATAGAAGAAGGAGAAGTAAACCACCTCACAGGGGCAGAAAACATAATCAACAAAATCATAGAAGAAAACTTCCCAAACCTAAAGAAAGACATGCCAATGAAGGTACAAGAAGCTTACAGAACACAAAATAGAGTGGATCACAAAAAAGTCCTCTTGCCACATAATAATCAAGACCCCAAATATATAGAATAAAGAAAGAATATTAAGGGAGCTAAGGAAAAAGGTCAAGTAACATATAAAGGCAAACCTATCAGAATTACACCTGACTTCTCCATGGAAACTCTGAAATCCAGGAGGTCCTGGATAGATGTTCTACCAACACGAAGAGACCATGGATGTCAACCCAGACTACTATACCCGGCAAAGCTCTCAATCAGTATAGATGGAGAAGACAAGATATTCCATGAAAAAACTAGATTCAAGCAATACATATCCACTAACCCAGCCCTACAGAAAATTCTTGAAGGAAAACACCAACCCAAGGAAGTTAACTACAACCAGAAAAACATAGGCATTAGGTAATCCCACTTTACCAACATCCAAAAGATAAAAAGGGTGGAATTCCACACATAATTCCACCACCACCAAGCATTCCAAATCAAAGAAGAATGAGCAATCAATGGTCAATAATATCCCTTAATATTAATGGCCTTGACTCACCCATAAAAAGACACAGGCTAACAGAATGGATTCGAGGACAGAACGCATCCTTCTGCTACATACAAGAAACACACCTCAGCCTCAAAGACAGACATTACCTGAGAGTTAAAGGTTGGGAAAAGATTTTCCAATCAAATGGACCCAAGAAACAAGCAGGGGTAGCAATCCTAATATCTAACAAATTAGACTTTGAAATAAAATCATTCAAAAGAGATGAAGGAGCTCATTACATCACAGGCAAAATTCACCAAGATGAAGTTTCAATTCTGAACAAAACTTTGTCCAAACTTACTAAACAGCAGAATGTGAACATGCAAATTAACAAAATCAGAAATGAAAAGGGGGACATAACAACGGACTCTGAGGAAATTCAGAGAATCATCAGATCATACTTTGAAAACCTGTACTCCACAAAATTCGAAAAATTAAAGGAAATGGATGGCTCCCTGGATAGCTATCACTTGACAAAATTAAATCAAGAACAGATAAGCAATTTAAATAGACCTATAACCCCTATGGAAAGAGAAGCAGTCATCAAAAGTCTCCCAACCAAAAAAAAAAAAAGCCCAGATCCAGATGGTCTCATTGCAGAAATCTACCAGTAATTCAAAGAACAGCTTATACCAATTCTTCTCAAAGTATTCCATGCAATAGAAGCAGAAGGGTCTTTGCCAAACTCTTTCTACGAGGCTTCAATAACCTTGATCCCCAAGCCACACAAAGATACAACTAAGAAAGAGAACTTCAGACCAATATCCCTCATGAACATTGATGCAAAAATACTCAATAAAATACTGGCAAATTGGATCCAAGAACACATCAAAACAATCATTCACAATGATCAAGTAGGTTTCATCCCAGGGATGCAGGAATGGTTCAACATACGAAAATCCATCAATGTAATCCACCATATAAACAAGAAAAACAAAATTCACATGATCATCTCAATAGAAGCAGAAAAAGCCTTTGACAAAATCCAACACCCCTTCATGATAAAGGTCTTGGAGAGATCTGGGATAACAGGAACATACATAACCATAATAAAAGCTACAGGCAGCAAACCAACAGCCAACATCAAACTAAATGGACAGATACTTGTGGGGACACCAGACCTTGAGCAGAAACCCACTTCCCCTTTGGCCTGGGAGCAGGCAGCTGTGTAATGTTTACTGAAAACAATTAAGTGCTAAAGCTCTTGATAGAGCTCAGATAAGGGCTTGCTCACTGAAATACCATGCCTTTCACACCCCCTATGGCTAGATGCCTCTTCCTGTTTCCCTGTGGTGTCTCCCCGATTCTGGGGCTGGAGATTAAACCACCAGCCAGGAGGGTGAGAAGTCTGGAAAAAATGGTATGTAGATGAATGGCAGAAGTCCTTAAAAAGGGAAGCTCCTTTTTCTTAGAGAGACTTCTCCTGAGAGCTCTCTCCTAAGCGGACTGGGGTCTCCTCCTAAGCTGACTTGGGAAGCATAAAGTTTTCTTAAAGCAACTGACCGGTCTCTGTGTCATCTATCCCGACCACCTCGCTACATTCTCGGATGCAGGCCGCACAGCAGGTGCGACAATTGGAGGATCCCACCGAGATTGTGAAAGCGAGGTAAGTGAGCAGATTCGTCTCTTTTTCTGGCCAGGGACAGATTGGGGAAAAAAAAAAGAAAAAAAACCATGGGGAATAGTTCTGGGAAGCTTAAATTACAGTATCAAGTTAAAAAGTTACTTGAAGGACATGGAACTACAGTAAAGTCTAAAACCTTAGAAGGCTTTCTAAAGTCGATTGAACGAGCCAGTCCATGGTTCATTACCGGGGAGAGTTTAAATATCCCAGATTGGGAGGAGGTTCGCCGTGATCTTCATCAACTTTTACGAAAAGAGGGACCTGAGTCCCTGCCCCCATCCACATTCTCCTTATGGAGATTAGTGAAGGGCACACTTTTGACAGATAAGGCTAGCCACCGC